ATGCAAACTTCAAATACAGGCTTAAATAGCAAATTAAACACACACACAGAGGCATAACTCTTTAATAAGCAACAAAAGCCTAGAATGGCAGGATGGTTTGAGCACTCCCTAAATTCTCCCAACACCAGAAATCTGCATTAAATGTAACATTTTGTCTTTTAGAAAATGGTGCTTTTATATCTAGTATGTTAGTAAACAATTATAAAGCTACTTCTCCATATTCTGTGACAGATCCTGCTGTGCATTTTCTCTCCTGGATTACATGATCTGCATTCCGCAGGTTAAGGACACGACTGATGATCCTTCTGTAATTAAAGCTCCCTAATGCTGTCAATACAAGGTCTATACAAAGAGCTATGTAGAAAGTACCTTGCCCTTTTCTGAGCCCTTACAATCTCTTATGCAGGCAGCAATCACAAGCCATTAGGGAGAGAGAGAATATAATTTATTTGTACTTCAGGGAAGAAACTGGAAGATATTACTCAGTTAATTTCAAAACCGGTGATGTCTGCAAACAATCCTCCTTATATATCCAACACATTCTTATACAATTCCCCCAAAGGGATTCATCAACCATAACAGCAGATTCTTAGGTTTAGCTTAAAAATCAAGTCACTTTACGGGGGGGGGGGGGGAAGTCAGATGATTTTGCAGCCATTTTTAAATACAGACCAAAGAAAATTTATTTCTGCCTCACCATGCTTTATTTTTAAAACTGGAAACAATAGATTCCAGACATCTCTGTATTTAAAAGATGAAGCCTGTGTTTGTTTGCATGGTAGTCGACCTGCATAGTTAATTTATAACAATCAATCAGTAGCAAAGCTGCTGCAAAATGAACAACCCTTGAATACAGACTATGTAGAATATTAATTTCAGTAACAATTGAGTACTTGGAGGCTTGCATGTAATGCAAAGACTAATGTATTATACATCTCACGTTATGCTGTCAGAGGTTGGAGGACTCTGAAGCCTTGTAAGACAGACACCATAAATGTGCATATTGCATTATCAAGGGGGAAAACAAAGACTGAATTTCTAAGGCACTCAAACTTAAGATCAACCCAGCCAAAGGGGGGTGGGGGGTATGGGAGTGGACAGCTTCCACTATAAAGCCATTCTAAGAAAGCAAACAAACTGTATCTGGACTATTTCAACTTTTAGAAAAAAAGTCACAAAAGTATCTGCAATCTAATACTGCAAGCCACAGATTATTAACATGTACCGAAAAGAAGTTTTCTCCTCTTACAGGTAACACGTACTGCTGGTTTAATCTCTGAATACATTTAAAGGGATGACACACTAGTTTCAAATAACTGCTCTCAGGTAACTTAAAAAAACAAAAAGCAAACACAAAAATATAAACCAAACCAAACAAAACAATCAACCAACCAACCAAAACAAACCCAAACAAACCACCACCCAACCCTTTTTGGCATCCTCAGTTGTTGATTCACTTTCTGAAAGTTCCCACTTGGCCTTTCAGCCCAAGCCAAATTCTGTCATTGAACAAAGTCAGCAGTTAAACAGAAAAAAGGATGTCACCTCTTCATGTGTATAAGTAGACAAAGCTTTGTGTATAAGAGAATTCATCCCTGGTCTTCTATATATTGTGGATGCATACTATACTAAGGAACAACTACTAATTTTGAATGAACAGTTATGAGGAAGGCTATGAGGATCTGTTTATGACATTAACTGTACACAGTTAAGATTTTTTTCTGGTAAGGGAAATCAGAAATTTCTGTAGAAAAAGGTAAGAAGAAACAAAGCAAAGGAAGTTCCGGTAAATGAAGACTGTAGTTTTCACATATCAAAATTTCTTTTAGTTACAAGGATGAGCTTCATAGTAAGTCTACACATGATTATCTTAAACCTACAGCTGAGAGACCAGACCAAGTAGCAAAATATAAAGTTCCTTTAATTTTAATAAGGGAATTATGAAAGTAACTAGAGGCCTCAGATACTTCAGGTTTTAAACTTTACAAACATCACCACAGAAAAGTAACCAAGCAATACAGACTTCCATCTGTATATGATCCAAATAGTGCATATGCAATAGTGCTTGTGGAAACACTGAGACAGACATGGGGAACAAGCTGAGATGTCTTGTCTGGCTTCAAGCTGCTCCTCCAGAAGGGTGCAGATCTTCTCTGTGTCTTGTGTTATACCTGCCAGTCCTATGAAGGTGTCGAAGGGTATGGCAGGAGATCTGAAGTGGCATCAAATCCCTAGGTGCTAACATCTGAATGCCACCTAAAGATATGCAATCTGATGTACGACAAACTTTGGAAAACACAATTCAATTTAAACATTCATACATGTACCTGAACACCTAAAAGTCACAATTTTCATGCAGTTCAAGGCTATGGATGTGGGTATCACAACTACAAATCAGGCAGTGTATAAACTGTTTGTAAAACTGGAAGTACATACATTCATTACAAACAGTAGTGTATACTCCAAGTGAAGAATGACTTGATACCAAATCATACATGGATATTGTAACCAGCAGCATCTTCTTCTGCTGATGCTGGACTCTTGTTCTTTGGTCAGCCTCTCTCTTATGTTAGTGCTGTAAACAACCCCATTTTTCTTTCCTTCTGTTTTCCCTCCCACAAGGTGGCGATCCAAGAAATCCCTTATGTAACTCAGATGCGTATTTTATAGCAAGGTACAGATTTTCTTGAGGAAATGTACATCACGAAAGAACAGTATTTCAAAACACTCCCTTCTCCTCTTGTTCAGAAACCAACAACTTAAAAACTAACTCCAGAGAAGTACACCAGCAAAAACATGGCTGCCACTGAACTATTTTCTTAACAACACACCTAGAAAGATTTATAATGCAGTGTATTTAAACACACTTGTCCCTCCATGGCTCAGGGTAGTTAGCTTAATACAGGAAATTCCAGATACTTTTTAGGTTTGAAAACACTGAAAAGCACAAAAGGCAGCTGGACTGACCATTCAGGCTCCACAAAGGATACAGTACTTACCTTTAGAGAACATACTTTATTTAATAGAATTTTTTTGTTCCAATATACAAAATAGGGGACCATAGTCCCAATTAACATTTACATAGTTACACAGCAAATAATTTCCACCATTTACAACAACTGACAACTTTCCCACACTCCCCACTGTATTACAGCCAAGAAAAAAATCCTGTAATGTTTTACATATCAATCTATTATATTTTGTACTTCCCTGCCTCTTTTCTTTTTAAGTTGCAGTTTTTGATATTGGTTTAATTAGGAATTCACAATTATTTCAGCTGCACTAAAAGAAAAATGAAATATATAATTTGGAATACTATCTCAAGAACCCTATACAAAATAAAAGTCAGTATCTTATAAAAATACATTGCAGGAGTAAAACCAGTGAAACAACAAAAACGTTTTAAATTTTGTTAGGGTATAAAATACTCAACAACTAGCCTCAGCTTTTAACTAAACAAAAAAAAACCCCAAACATTTCCAATTAGCAAAAAGTAATGTGACAGTTCTTTTACAATACTGTACCTTTAGTATGCAAAGGACTTCATCCTTCTAACATGCACTATTATCCAAATGATTCACCCCTTAACCTTTTTCCCACTGAAAGCTGAAAAAAGGTTTTAAAATTATTTGAATCCTTTAAGAAAAATCCAATCATATTTTGTGCATCTCCCACAATATTTAAGCTTTACTTTACAATGCTGGTAGTTTAATCATGATACATAATTTTATATAAAAGAATTCTAGCCAAACCAAGGCTTTAGAAACTTTGCATTTTACAAAAGCAATTTGTTACAGCATGACAGTTGCAAAATAGCCCAATTTATTTAGTGACCCTGTTAATGATTTGTTCAACTGAGTGAATAGGTGAAGTCATTTCCTGAGCTAAAAGATACAAGTAAGTAAATAGTCAGTTATAGCAGCAGACAGGAGACATTCTTTTTAAAAATTGTAACAGTATCAATAAAATAACCTTAGAAAATTACAATAATGTAAAAATGAGTAACTGAAGAGGGAGTGACAAGGACATCCAAGACCTGATTGCCATGATCTGGAATGCATATCCCATGACCTTCCAGAAACTGCATTCAGCTACAGTCAGACAATGTACTGGTAAGTGGAAGAATGTCAAATCACAATAGTTCACCTTTGTTACAGATCAGGTGTTCTGTCAAGATTTAATTCTTAATGCTATTGTTTCATAAACCTAAAGCAAGATAAACTGCTTAGTTTCAGAAATTTTCATTCTACAGGACTTAAGTGTTATTACTTTTAAAGGAATGTGGTATCTTCAGTCTCATGAAATTCCAAGCCTATTTCTTATTATTCAGATGTAATTTATACTTGAGACCTTGAGTGGTTTTTGAGATAGTCACCCATGCCACTGGGAACAGAAGTGGATCCATTTTTAGGAGAGGGAATAATATTCTTAAAATGGTTTACTTTGATCCAACTCACTCTAACTTGCTTAGAGTATGAACCATTAACAAATTATTAAAGAAGTATAAAGACCAGTATACCACCACTGCACCATCATTTTCTTATGATATGCATTCTTAAAGACTTCTGTGTGACAGTTTGATCACTTTTTTTTTCACCCATTAATGGAAAGAGGATATTCTAATTCAATTAAATAAAGTACCTCACTTAGATACCAGTTCCTCTAGAAGGAAATCTCTCTTCTGTGTTATTCATTTTTTTTTGAGATATTGTAAGCATTGTTTTTAGAATTTATATTGGCTCATTAACATTTAAACACAATTAGTTTTAATTCAAATTAATATATAAAATTTCCAATACTTGCTAGAATAAAGGACAATACACAAGATCCTAAGTTACAATAATTTATAAATAAAAATAAACTATTACAAACCAAATCTTTCCCCATACGGAGATTAAAAGCCATAATCTTGACTGATTGTTCCTGATCATACATTATAAATAATGTAAGCTTCTTCAGAGAAGCAAAACATACTTGCCTCCCTGACACCAGTTTACATCTTCAGTTAAACTACTACCATCAAGAAGGCAATTGAGTTGGGTCCAGATGTATCTTCTTCCTTATACGTTAACCCTCCCAACCTCATTCTTTTAAATTTAAGCACAGGAAACTAAGTTCACAAAGAGTCCTTTACCTTTTATACACAAAGTCTGTATAAAAGACAGATTTCTAATGCTCCTATTGCACCAATCTGGCAGTGCAGTTAGAACCCAATTCAAATTCCACTGAAGTCCATGAAAGGCTCTCCAGTGACCTTAACGGGCTTTGAATTAGGACCACAGAGATAGTATTACCTAACGGAAAGCTCCTGCAAGAGTGGCTGGTATCTCTCTTTTTGCTTATGGGATGCAGTGGAGATGTGTAGTCAGCATGATACCTGAGCAAATAAAATGAACACGATACAAAGGTTTTAAGAATCCCAAACTCTTTGCTTAGTTGTGTGCAAACTGTGCTACAGCCCCTGGAGCTCCCTGTTTTCCTTTTTTTTCAGTGCTTGCTCCATTCCAAGATACAGAAGATGTGAGGCATAAAAATCTCTCTTCACTACAGTTCCCCCTCAATCCCGAGACTGATAGAAGAGGATGTAACCAGACTCAGAGTTCTTTGAGATGTCTGATGTCAACCCGTAGAATTCTTCAATAGCTTGTGCATCAATTTTCTGTATATAAAAACCCAAAAATTTAAAATAAGAATATCTTGTATATACATGAAAGTTCCATTCTAAAAACTGTTGACAAACAAAAATAACTTCCACATAATTACATAAAGTAACAAAATCCAAATAATTCTTAAACTTACTATGTTTTGGTTTCCCCTCTGCCATCAACTGTACAGAGTGGAGCGGCTACACGTATATTACATATAAGTTTTTAAGTATTAAGTGAACCTCCTGCGAATGCAATCTTAAGTGCATTGCTTGCACAAACTTCACACAGAAAAGTTTTAAAGACAACAATATCCCATTGAGACATTATATCAGTATGAAGAACTATCATTTCTAATTCAAACTATCGTTTCTAATTCTAAGCAGTGTAGGCTAATCAAGTGCCAAGGACAATAAGTAGAAGGCAGAGAATGAAGGCTAACTTTTCCTATGTTTTTCACACAGAATGTTTGCTTGTGATCCTGTTTAGCTCAGAGAGCCTCCTATAATTAAGATTTTTGGGAAAGATGCAAAACTTCTGTTAAGAAGGTGAAAAGAGAATTTACAGTTTTCATTGACATCATTTTCGGCTAAAAAAGAAACTGAAATTGAAAGAAAGCTCTCTTGCCACATTTTAAAATCAAAGCCAATTAGGACACAAACAACAAAAGGTCAGAAAGATAAATTTTCCTTCACTTAAGCAGATTTTACTTAATCTCATTCCCATTATTTGAAGTAAAACCTCTCTCAGGAAGTAGTGAGCCTTCCAACTTGATGAACCATGGGCCTAGAAGTCAATTACATATTTTATATTTAAGAACAAAAAGTTTCTTTCCTTCCTCTTTAGAAGGGCTAAGAGGAAAAAAAAAAACAAAACACATTACTGGCAGGTGTTACTGCTTTGGAACTGGAAAGATTGTCCCTGATGTTTGTGAAATTATGTGAGATTTACTACAGAGCACTCTGTTTTCCCTGCAGGAAAGTGAACTTTTGACCCTGTCGAGACATTTCAATTTACTGTGTATCTTGATAAGACACAGAGGCAATCCTTTTACTTTCCTAACAGCTCTGTATATTTCCATGTTTGTCATTTCCTGTGTGAAAAAACATCCATAACATGGCTTGGAGATAAGACCTCTTCAATACCCTTGACTGGTCCTGCCAATTAACTATGTAAGTCCAATACCTGTCTCACTCATTTTTCTTCTTTTCAATTATGCAGTTCTTGTGTATTGTAATGTAAATGTAAACTATTCATTTTATAGATATAATTAATTCAAATAAAGTCAGGAAAAGGGCTTGGACAGCACAATCATACTTCTGTTCATGCATAAGCATAGACAAGAGGGAAAAAAGGAAGATGACAGAACACACGCACAAAAAAAAGAGATGATATATTATAGAGACACAAGCAGTTTCTGCTCTGTCTCTCAATAAAGAATAAAAGATAACTGCTAAAATAGAAAGAAGATGAAGTCACAACTGGTGAAGAGAATTCTGCTGTTCCAAGAAATTAGTTAGAATTTTTTTTTTTTCCAATAAGAATTCCTGGAAGCATGGCAAATATTAGCAAGAATACCACCAGAGACAAAAGGCTCCTGTTTCTGGGATTAACTTTTAAATTTTAAGGTGAAATCTCAGAAATCTGAAGTCACTTCCTATTTTGATACACCTTGTCTGAAACAACCCAGAATACTCAGTAAAACAGACTACCAGACTGATGCATTCCATTAAATCATAAGCTCCTAAAAACTATGAAGCAAATGGCTTGCTCCAACAAATTGCTCTCAGAAAAGAATCGCAGTAAAATGAATTTATCTATATCTTTATTTGCAATGTCTTCTGGCCACAGAAATAGCTTATTAAACAAAGGTGAAAGACAGCGGCCATAAATAAAGAAGCTTCTTTCAAGAAGTATAAAAACCAAAATGCAATTCAAAGTATTGTACAGTTAAATTGTAAAGCATAGCTCTGCACTCACAGTTATTGCTCATTTAGGCTGGGGTTGAACCCTCTTTTCATTAGCATACTAGTCCTTTTACTTTAAGTAACCATATACACACGAGGAATGCACTCTGGTTGGCATGAGAAAAAAATCCAAGGTTACACAACGCTTACCTCAACAATATCATCATCAAAAAGCAACCAAAAATCATGACTCTTCACTATTGCAATATAGTGTCCTCTGTTAGGGCCACTGTAAAATAAAATTAGAAAAGAATACAGACAATAACACACATGTATGTACAAATGTATTTCAAATTCCTCTTTTCTTGTAGAAAAGCAATACTTAACAGTAATTAAAATGGCTACCAGTATAATTTCTGTTTGGGTGTTTCTTTTCTTTTTTCCCCTCCATTTATATCATCATCATAATGAGGTCTTACTTATCTCTACATTTAATATTGTGCTAAAAAAAAGGATTATAATTTCAAATGAGGAATAAGCAGCACAGGCATTGAAAATATAAATGAAGTTTAAAAAAAAAAAGAAAGAGACAGATAAGTTAAATAAAGAAAAAAATCTGGTGTTTCATAGGGACAGAACAGATCCCATACTATTTCTGATCTTCAGAAAGAAAGCTGTAGAGCTGCTGTTCGTTTACAGTTTCACTCAGGAATCTCCTTATCTGGTCCACTGTAAACAAAAACTGAATCAAACTGACAGAAGTCTCAAGAATCCTTGAGATTCTTGAAGAAGCAATAAGAAGGTCTCCCAATTAAATTAAAACTGTTATAAAGCGCAGCTCTTTAGTTTATGGAACACAAGAAATTTCTCCATGACTAGACAGAACAACAAAAAAACCCAAAACCCACAACTTTGAAAGTGCCCTATTTCTAATTAGATTTCAAGTAAGGAAATAATACACTTCGTGAAATAGCTGAACCTTACAAGTGAAATTGGACAACTAGTTAAAGCAGTTCTGGAACTGCCTTAACCGGCTAACAGCAGTTATACAGAGTGAAGGTTGCCATCTGTGAGGGACATGTCTGCGTGCCAAATCACATAATCCAATGAAAACAGGGTTCATCTCCTGCCATGGCTCTGAGAACAGGTAAGTTTCTAAGACTGCAGCTTGAATGAGGGAGACAGAAATGGGCAGAATTGGACAGAATGGCCAGAAATGGACAGGTTCTATTTTCCCTAAAATCCAGAACAAGAGTGTCTCAGAAGACTATGGCACAAAGACAAACCATCCTGGCCAACTTGAGATCTACTCATCTTACCTCTACTCTTATCCTATGGGTATTTAAGGAGGAATGCGGGTGGGGGTGGAACAAAGGGCACGAAGTAGCAACCAGGGGGCAGGTCTGCCACTTTGAAGGACTTCAAAAAGTTGGAAGAACGGGCTGATAAGAACCTCATGAAGTTTAACAAGTATAAACGTGAAGTCTTGTGCCAGACTAACTCCACACAACAGCATCAGGTACAAACCAGCTGGCTAGGTGAGCCTAGAAGTTCAAAAAGTTGAGCTGTTAGCAGTGCATCATTTTGGTGACAGAGCTAAGCGTATGTGCGGCTATAATGAGCTTTTTTTACTGTGGCTGCACCAAGGTTCTCAGAGCCCAGGGTTAACGCAAAGCAGTAGCAGCCCTTGGGCTGCTCTTCAGAGGAGAGACTGGGACTGGAAAAAAGGAGCATGGCCAGCACAGACCTAAATGTGCGTGGGGTAACCAAAAAAAGCTTGGCTTTAGAAATGGGGACAGTGTCACGCAAGAAAAAAAATAGTGATAATCACCACCACTCTGCATACTGGGACCCAGAACTGGACATGGAATTCTAGACACGACCTTTCCAGTACAAAGGAGAGACTAATAATCTGGAGGAAGTCCAGTGGCAGGCCACTACATTTGTCAGAGGGCTACAGCACCAGACGGATGAAGAGAGGCTAAGGGAGCTGGCTTTATTCAGCCTGGAGAAGACTACATGAGGAATCCAACTGCTGTCTTCCACTACCTCAAACAGAAGAGTTATAAAGAAATCAGAGCCAGGCTCTTCTCAGAAATGCACAGTGAAAGGACAAGAGACTGGTCACAAACTTCAGCAAGGGAAATTCTGCCCAGATATAGGAAGGGGGAGGCTTGGGGAAATCACTGTGAAAACACTGATGGACTGGAACAAATTGCCCAAAGAGACAGTGAAATCAGCATTCCTAGTCACAAAATTGAGCCTAGTGCAGCCTAATATAAGGTCAAAGCTAGCTCTGCTCTGAGCTTTAAGTAGTTGTCCTCACAGCATAAATTATTCTACAATGCTAGATTTTAAATCATCATTTTCAACTTTGGGGCTTTTATCTACTCAGTAAGCAGTTTGTAGAGCAGCCCTGATTTTAAGACTTGAAGCCACAAGAACATTTATTGAACATAGCAAAATCAAATACAAATCGAACCAAAGTAATCTACAAAATTCATATCAATGTATTTCTGTTGCTCAAGGCTTAAAAAAAAACCAAACAAACAACATCCTAAAGGAAATACCTGATAAAGGAAACTGTTCTATAATGCTTTCCTTCCTACAAAACTTTTTTAAAAAATGATCTTTACATTTTATTAGTTATATGATATTGCGTGTTTTGTGGGGTTTTTAAAAACATAGTTCAGTTCATACAAAGATCTGTCATGTGAAACATACTGTTATCACTTTTCACAATGAACTATCATGGGAATAAAGACATAAGTTCTGTCAGGATTGGTAGCTTGTCCCCACAAAACTTACTTTCCCAAGAAACATCTCTGTTAAGAGGTCTTCTATTAAGAGTTTTGTAATATTAGGTGTTTTGTTTTTTAAACATAGTTAACCTTATACAAAAATCCCTTGCATAAAATAGTTATTACCTTCCACAATGAACTACCACAGCAACAAGGTCATACATTCTGTCAGGATTGGTGGCATCTCCTGAGGTGTTAAACAAACGAAGCTCTAAAGGAAAAACTACTCTATAAGAGAGTTTTGTGTATCGATGCAGTTGATCCATGTATTTAAATCTCTTTAAATGGAGAGCTAGAATCATAGGTAGCTTTTTCACTTTCATCCTGAAAAAAAAAACAAAAAACAAATCAACAGTATTTCCAATACCCAGCCAAAACATTCAGTTGGTACCAACAAACAGGAAACCTGTCTTACTGAAGTCTTTAAAAATTTCTGCAAGTGGTAAAAGAGGCTCAAATAATCAGCTGTTTAACAAATATTGAACATGTCCTGTGCTGCTAAACTAAAGACAAACTTTAACAACTGAGAGACTTGCAAATGTATTTAATAAGAATAGCCACGAGGAACCCACGTAATAATTTAGACATGATGACCGCATAGCACAGAATTCAATTTTTAAATATACGTCCCCATAGCTTTCCTGAGTTCTCAAAACCCAAACCTAGATCCCAGTTGGTATACAGTGGAGGTACTGCAACAAAGCTGTTCCAGAGATTCTGTTCCAGTTGAATTTCTCAGTAAATCAGCCAAGTCAAACAAGCTTTTTAAAATAGGCTTAGTTAGACCACTTTGTTAGATATGTATTACTCCACGTTTTCATATCAAGGCATTAATTTAACATAGCCAAGGGATACAAATAGCCCACTGTTATTCACCTTACCTCATGCTACCGAAACAAAATAATGCTGTGCTCCAGCACAGTAATTTTGTACAAATGTTGCAGCGTTATTTCATGGCAAAGCCAGAAAGTGATAATCTAGTTTTACTGAGGGCTCACTGGCCCCTTTCCATAGTTTGAGGTATTGAGATCTCACATCAGTGCCTGCAAATCCTCAGCCACAGCTGGCCTGGCAGCAAACACAGACTTCCACTCTCCGGGCAATAAATTTGCCCATACTAACAGATCAACCAAGCTAGAGTGCTCTGCTTCTTGGCACAGCTAATTGCCTTAGATCAGCACTGTACTGAATTTTTCGAACTGCTTTCAGCCCTGAAAGGCAGCTCAAAAGTCTCAACAACACAGCCCAAGTTTCAGACATGTCTACTGAGACCATATTTTCAGAATGTCAGGAAATACATTTGCACAAGACAATCCTTTTTCAAAAGATAGGGGGCTAGGGACAAAATCCTTGAAAACTCATCTTCCTTCCCTTTTTCTCATTAAACTTGGACTGATTGTAACCTGTAGGAAATCTCAAATTTTCTCAACAGCCCACAAGGGAACTAGGAAGTGAAAAAAGCTGGAGAAGAGCAGAACGATGACAGAATCAACTATTTTTAGGGAGAGTTACATTTTTTATTATATTACTGAGATATGGATACGATTTCTGCTCTATTTCTTTTTTCAAAATGAAAGTCCTCTTGTCATAATGCAACTGTGCTTGATAATAGGAGCTCTTTCACTAGGGAAGAAATTCAGTATACAGCCTTTGTTAGTTGAGTGGACACTATCACAGCTCCATGTTATAAAGATGGAATAAAATTATGATTGCAGTGAAACCGAACTTAAGCCCCACATGAAAAGCAAAATATAAACACTAAAAGCTGTGTTTTGCCAATATGGCAGTGCCTACAGTACAGATTTATGTCAACACAGCTTGTACTGGTCAGGGATCACATTACCTCCCACACAGAAATAAGAGCTAAAGCAACAGAAAATAACAGGACAGACCTGACTTCACAACCCTCTAATACACACTAATTAGTATGCTTAGGCAACATGTGAAGGCAGACTTTGCAGATGAGATATGCCAAAAACCACGTGCTGAATCCACAGTAAACTGAATAACCAGAATCAGTGGTATAACTAGTAGAGCATGTCAGTGTTCCCATCCCTTCAACTCAGCAGCCTAATTCTCTCTCAGATAATAAATACCACACAGTACACAAAATCAGAGGTTCTTTAAAGGTGTAAACAAGACTAGAAGAATTATTAGGCAGACAAGAATTGTTTTTAAACATAATGAATTTCAGGCTTCCACAGAGCTTCTGATGTTTTTCAGGAACACTGTTAAGCAGAAGTTTAGCACAACTAACTGCACACTTTCAAGAAACCAGAAACTCAGTTAACAGAAAAAGTTACAAGCCTCATTCTGACTGAATCAGGTATAAATGCTATCAAACAGATTCTTAAAGCAACTGGGAAAATTATTTTATTATCAAGATAAAACCAAGTTTAAAAAAATCACATGAAATCAGTGGCTTTTCATCATCATCCGTAATCTTCGATTAGTCACTGGCAGTTTGTTTTAACTCATCTTTTCAACTAACTTTTGGTCTTAAGACCATTCTTTTTCTCATTTGTAAAATAAATAATGATCAAAGGAGTCCCAAAATGCTTTACGTAGATCCTCATTACTCATTGAGTAAGCTCATTGAATTCAAGCAAGAGGAATGCAACAAAGCATTCCACATTAAGTGGAAGAAGAGTGAGAAAAATTAAGGGAAAAAGAATGTTCTCATGCACACACAAAAGGAGTATTTTCATGAAATGCATGGGTTATTTTTTTCCCTCCCTGAGTTTGATGTACCTTTTATGTGCTTCTTGCTTACTGCGACATTCTTCACAGTAATATTTGTATTCACTGCACAGAGTTTCTGTATTGCTGAAACCCCTGGATTAAAAAAAAAAAAAGAAATGCTATAGATACTAGTTTCTTATCTGAACTATACATATAAACAAGTAGAATATAAACATAATTTCATAATCTTAAGTCTACATAAGCTAAAATTTGCTAAGCTTGTAAGCTTTTAGTTTTACTTCCTGCTTTCTAGGTAACAGACATGGACAAATTACAAAAATTCAGATCTGTGCATTTACCTTAAACAATGAGTGATTGAAGTATTCTGCTCCACATCAACTGAAAGGTCTAAGAAGTCTTCATCTTTGCTGCTTATCTGCAGGAAAAAAGAACCAATAGATTATAGCTCAAATTAGTTACAATAATTTACCTCTGGTTTTCAGTACCATTTTCTGTCGACAGAATGCATCTTTTACCTTGTAACAGCCTTTAAAAATTGTTACAAGTGGCCTTTCTATTTCAGAGATTTGCTAGATCTCCGTTTCTGATTTTGTTCAGGAATAAGGAAGTGTATATGTGTCTGTGGGGGTATATAATACCAGTTGTTATTGTGCTGTGATTTCAGCTCAACAACATTAATGCCAAGTTTCTTCTACACCTCACTCTTTTCAAAAGAATACAATCACTAGGATTCTTCTATTTAGTGCTCTCACCTCTGTTCTTCCCCTATGATTCCCTCCAACCAAAAGTTGTGTATGTGCATATCACAGTGTCTCTAAGACAGAGCGCAAATACTTTGAAGCCTCTTCCTGCCTAGATTCATACTCTTAAATGAGCAGCAGATAGCAAATTTGTTGGTAAATGAGAGCTTGGAACTTGGTCTGATAGAGGCAGAATAGCGCACAGCCATTTCTTACAAAAATGCAAGAATAACAATTGAAGTAAAAAATAAATTCCTAGAAGTAGAGAATAAATTCCATCACAAATCCTGAAAAATGGTGATGGATGAAATCCACAGCTACCCTGAAAATCAACTACGTTATTACAATGGTTAGGAATTGGCAACCTGCAACGTTAACTTTTGTCTGCTAGTGTTTCCTCTCTGTATCTAGAATTACTCAGAGCCACTGATGAGAACGTCCGCTGCCTTTTATGACTCCCAGGTACAAAAGTAAATGCTTTTAGAACAGTTGCCTGGCTGCAGTTTCTTGACTGAATGCAGGAAAAGTTAAACAGCTACAGGAGAACTAAAGTAAGTTGATCTTTAAAACATATGACATTTATGTTCCCTTTTCAACTCAGAATAAAAATATATTTGGAAGGTTTTCTCTGATTATCAAGAGATGAGAAACACATGGTTGCTATGGGCAGCATACCTGGAGTATGAAAGGAAAAATGCAGGTGGTCAAGACAACTATTTCTGAGAATTAATATCCCATTGCAAACCACTTTTGGAATTATCAAGCTTGAGTTTATAGCACTAAGAACTCTGGTGAAAAACATCTTAGCCTAGGGATTAAGAACAGCTCAGAAAAAAAAAAAAGTCAGTTCTAGAAAACACTCTGCTGCAGTCTTCAACTAGAACAGCTGGAATTAAGGAGTCACGTGATCAGTGTTATTCAGACATGCAATTAGATACTTCTTCCTCTCTTGGTCTAATCAGAGAAAATTCCATGAAACAATAAAAGATTTCACAAGCAGCTTTATCTCATGCAGAAGCTCTAAGGGCAGGGAGGAGATGGAGAAGAGGAAAGGGATATGTTGTACTTGGTTAAGAGATTGGTACTGAAACCTGAAGTTCGCAAAAAGAATTCTTCCATTCTTAGTGATAATACTGATAATACTGGTTTAAAGAACCTCTCTCAGCTTAGCTGGTCCATTCTGCAACTTAGGATCATAAGGAACCATTAAAGGCTTTATTGAAAGAATAGGAAAACGGATTTTTTCCATCTATGTTGATAATTTAGAAATTGCTATTCTTAATTTTCAAGATTTCTTGAACATTAGTATTTTTTTTAACATTAACTCATACAGTTTTAATTTAAAAAAAAGAAAAATTATAAAAAAGTCACCCTGCACTCTAACCAGCCCCTCCCTTGTGTAGAGGTTCTGTTTCAGATAAACATCACTAAGTTCCTTAGATTAAAGTTGCTAATGCTATATATTTAAATCATCTATAGAATCAAAAAAAGATGGACATGGTCAGAAAACCTCCTCACTTGCGGAATCAAGCCTTGATGTGTTCAGAAAGCCATCTGAGAGCTCTTAATATGAGCATCTGAATAATAGTGAAGAATTCGGGTGTTCCAGTAATCTGGCTAAAGGTGATGGTATGTTGTTCTCACATCAAGGATGTAATCTGCACTCAAACAGCTCAGCTGTACTCTGACGATGAATGCCACACAGAACAGAAAACTCGGAAGGCTAACACTCATGGAATCTGTATTTCCTTCCGTTTGGAATTTCATTAGCAACGTGGAGCAGCTCACTGCTCCCCTGTGTGCTAAGACAGAAATGATTTTTAAATGGAGCTGAAACAAAGGGAGTGATTTATCTTGGTTTCAGAAAAACAATGAAAAAAAAAAAAGTAGGGCATAATTAAGTCTTCTATAGTACTCCTGTAAGAGAGACCACTGAGATTTTTATGCCTTGTAGATTTTTATGCCAGATTTGTATGCCTTGTAGAGTCATTTGAATGCAAGAGCAAGACTATCAGCTGTAGAAAAACATTATCAATATTTGGTGCTTTTCACCCAAGACAATTTCCTATTTCTCTCTGTAGAAGTACTGTCCACATTTTTTCAAATTCAATCTTAACGAAGTCAATTACATTATTTTATGGTATACTTATTCTTCCCTTAAATTGTGAGAGAAATATGTAGAACCAACGGACTTCTAGATAAGTTTTATCAATTAGCCACAAAACTTGGTAATATTTACATCATCATACCGCCTCTAACAAGGAAGGGGGAAAGCATGATATCAAGAAATCACATTAAAAGCATGTAAAGACAACTTACAATCTGTTTTGTAACTTAAGTCTTTTATACTGTGGCTTGACCCATGACAAAATTCTTTGTTGAAGAATCATATCTATGTTCCTTATATTCCACTGTCCATACTTAAACTGAGGATAAATCTTCAGTCAGTTCATTTTTTATCTTAAAGATGGGCTAATGGTACAGTGTGTCCTGGAAAGAAGTTCTTTGCTATAATCAGGACAATTGAAATTAGAATAAAATCTTGCTATGCTGATTTTAGGAACATTGGGTAGGTTTGGCCAGTTAGAAGATAATCATTCTCACTTAGACCAAAGATATATTACGCTTTGTATTTAAGTATGCATTAAATTCTAAATTTAAATTAAAAGTATACTAAGGTTATTGTCTTACCATTAAGAAGCACTAATTCATCCGCTATTGCTGTATAATCTTCTACATGAGCTACATCCAAGTACTGCTGACATTTTAAGTTATATTTCTATAACACAGAGACTCTAAACACCAACAGCTTCCAATAAACATTAAAAAAATCATATATCCTCACTATATTTGAAAATAAAACACTATTCAGTAATATTACCTGTTTAATGTGTCTAAATGTATTTCTAAGTGCCCATTTTTAGGTCACTGTTTTAATTAGACACAAGCTGATGTACTGAATAGACAGAAGCTGATAGGGCTTGGAAGACAAAGGCACTAATATACTAAAAGAAGTGTATTATAACACCAAAATTTAAAATTCAACTGGCCAAGGAGGCACAGTGGAAGACAGACACAGCATATCCTCTTCAGCAACTACTAACAGAAAAACAGAACTGAGCAATATTAGTAAAACTCTCAAAATTGTGATAGGCCTGATAACTAATAATGCTGGCAGAGAGCAAATCAGAATTTTAAAATTGCAGTAAGGACTGTACCTAGATCAAAATTGTGACAGCGGTAGTTCACAGTGCCATAGTGAGGGAAGGTAATGATGTCAGTCATGTTAAGAGACTAAGCTAAACTCATGTTTCAAGAAGAAAAAAAAGCAGTTCAAGAACTAAAAGAGAAGCAATTGACGGTTGCCATGAAATAGTTATTAGGGAAGGGAAATATACCAGAAAAAAAGTACAGTAGCATTTCAGCATCTAAATTACTCAAAATACCAAGATCTACTGAGGTCTGCAGCTACATTACATACGACATTAGGCAGCTATTTTCTTTGAAAAGGGGTATTTCTAGAAGACAGAGAAAATTACATGTGAAATATATAGATTTAATCTGATTAATTCCTGCTTTCCAACGTCACGCTGAAATGTGTGCATTACCTAATTAAGGAAAATAGGTATGAAGAGTCATACAAAAAAATACAGTCATTTGCTTTTTCAATACCTAAGGCATAGATCACGACACAATTACTGTAATTTTCAAATTGTGCTGCTTTTTCTCTTTCTCAAGCAGGTAAAATTCAATTATGAGTTTTTCTGAAATATATGCTTTCTATTATTGTGGAATTTTAGTACAGCTTACTCAAAGAAGGAGTTTATTTCTCAGGGTCTAGTATTAGAAGAAATCCTGTGGACAGGTATTTAGGAAAGGATTACTTTTCGTGCATATTAAGTTATGTTCTTTGAGAATCCCAGTCTACTCTCTCTGTGCCAAAAGCCAACCATAGTATCTTGACTACAACGGCTTTAAATTTAAAAACTAGGAATAGGTAGAAACTGATTCAGAATATTTATTTATGAAATGTATCACTAAGCATGACATTAAGTTATTAAGACATAAATTTGAGAAGTCCTCCACATCCCCAAGTAGCCAGCTTCATTGCTCTTAAGAATACATCAATTTAGAATTTTCTAATCTAAATTTTGATGTTGATTACGATCACACTGACAAAAAAAAAAAAAAAAAAAAAAAAAAAATCAATTGGGCATTTTCCTAACACTAACCAAAAGCCTTTTCCTACGATTCATGCATCAGCTGCTGAAATTTTCTCACTAACAAAGAAAAAATGCTAATGTTCAGACAAACGTAAGATTTCAAAAGAAATAAATTAATCTAGTACGTTAGTCTGTTGAGATAAATGAATCATAAAACATGGAGTTCTGAAACATGGAAGAATTAATTTTACGAAGTATATACAGACTTACAGTTTCACACGTAAGACATCTGGTTTCATTAGTTAATGTTCCCTGAAAGATTTCATGAACCCAGGTTGGGTCTGGTGGGCTGTTATTTTCATTGTCAATGTTGCCATTAGGTAAGCGACCATTTTGTTTCTCTTGTTTTCTTTCCTCTTGCAAGATATCCGCAATTGTATTTAATAGATAGTTTAAGAACTCATGTGCATCCTGCTGCATGTAGTTATCAAAAAGCTCTACAAGATAAAACAGAAGATTTTTTTAATCAGTTAATGCTATACTATAAAAAAGTCTTTAAAGAAGTCGAATTTCAAAACCAGTCTTTATTTCATGTCTTGAATCATTCATGAAAATACAACACCAACCCAAAACACATACTTCGTAAACTAAGCCAAAAATTTAGGAGATGGGAAGGGAGGGGTGGGGCAAATCAGATTACATTCACAGAAATCTCTCAGCTGATCAGAATTACCAGAAGAGTGAACCATTCTGCAAGAAAACTAGGGCATGATTCAACTATGTAAACACAGGTGTACGTATAGTGCCACCTGGAATCATAGAATGGTTTAGGTTGGAAGGGACCTTGAAGATCATTGAGTTCCAATCCCCCTGTTCAGTCTCCAGTTGCCAGGCCATGATGATTTGGATCTCCTACAGGGGCTACGCTATCTCTGCCAAGCTTAGGTCAATGCCTTGGATAACACAGGGCACCTCAAATGGCATTAGATGTTGATATTTTCCAGACATGAACTGAGAACTTATGACGGGAAATGTTTAACTATCTATATGTTCTATCACAGGAAGAACATGAACAATAAATGCTCAAAACATTGCTTTAATTATTTTCACTTTTAGGATTTAAAATCCATTGCTGCTCTGTCAATAAGCACAGTGTCATCAATATTAGCAATGAAAATAATCAAGATTAAGATTAAAAACTTAAAAGATGCTGATATTTTTAAACAACTATTTTCTTTCTCAAAGCTCTTTAAGTAAAGTAGAATTTATAGAAGCCAAGTCAAATTAGCCTAAAGTTCTAGCCACAGGAAGAGCAAACAGGTTTCAGATTAGGACTTCAAGTAATAAGTAGATTTGTCTTTCAAGATCTGAAATATTGCTTCTGGTGATTGGTATATGAGGCACCTTTATTACTGATGGACTTGTTGGATAGATAATGGATTCACTATACTTTCTGTTTCAAGTCGTCAGTTTAACAACATTCCTAAGCATAATTGTTTTAGGATTAATTCAGTGGAAGAATAGTTTCACTGGCACATACTTGTGATGTATAGCAATGACACAGATTAAAACATGAAGTTGAACTCTCTTTCTTACAAGTCTGCTTTCTTGTTTATGTTCAAATTGGTACTACCCTGAAAACATTGTTTATTGTATTCCCCTCAGGTATCAACCTGAGAAATCCTCTACTGTTATAAATCCTCACATTAGGAATGGGACTAAGAAAACCACAAAGGCATTGATCAGATTCAGTAATAGTTACCTCTTCTCTCTCTGACCAGGAATAGTTATAAGGACATTTACCTGCCAATTTAAAAAGCATTCTATATCATTGACTAACATCATACAAGTCTTTTAAGGTGCAATTACTTCAATTAATTATAACTTGCAATTTGCTTGTAGTCCAAGAATATACTAAGAGACTGGCCTTCAGTGGAGGGATAGTTGCCAGGACTGGAAAGATGAATGAAAAAGATACTCAGTGAAGCTTAAGTGTTGAAGTGCATACAGGGATTACATGGAAGCTTGCTTCACTATCATTCACTTGATGGCATCCACGAGTAAACTCCAAATTAAGAAAAAAAAAGAAATAAAAATCCTGAGTTACTAGCAAAGTAGCGAGAATTTGTTACTAATCTAGACCATTCGGAGAGGTTAAGTAGTGCAATAGGTCAGCCAAGAGTATGAAACAAGTAGTTTGTTTAATGAACTACACTATTTTTGAGAAGTAAGAGTAAGTTCAATCTAGCCAACTGTAAGGTCTTTATTTTATCAAGTCAGTCAAGGCAGAACAAGAGCTACAAGTCTCTTGAGGTAAAACACTTCAGAGAGTCTTCACAGTGTTACATCATGAACCTCTCGGGGCTATATGCCCAGTTAGTAAATTAGCATTAAGTACTACAGAACGAAAGCTACACATTGCTCATTTTACGATTAGAAGAAATTTAAGCAAACACAACAGTATACCTTCAGCTGACTTCAAGCCACCAGCTGCTTCCCAGCCAGTTAAGCTTTAAGGTCATTAATATATGTATGTTGTATTCTGACTTTGAAAATAAAGATGAAATAGCAGCACTGCAGTCTGGAATACATTAAGATTATGTTCTCAGTCATCACCCTGGCATAGCTGGATACTGACTGGAACAGAATCTAGATCAGTGTTGCTTATCTACCCGATTCTTTAGCTAACTCTTCTTTCAAGCTCAAAATGATATACATTTACAATAAGCACTTAATAGCATATATGATGTCCTGACAGTTTAGCTGCCTGACAATTTAGCCATTTATTTGTAGAAAAGATGAGAGTATCATCATTAAATGAGACCCCAAAAGCCAACAAGAGCTGAACTTTCACATCTGACTTCTCTAATGAAGATTTTCCAATTGCCTTCTCCTGATTAGAATTTTAATGTCATGACATTATTAAGCATTAGAAAGAACACTTTCTAAAAAGAATTTAATAGCACCTGTGGTTTATTTTCTGCTTTCCACTTGAACCATTCTTCACGTTTGTCATAGTTAGTCAACACTCATTGACATAATGAACTATTTCTGTAAATGCATCAACATACAAGCATACCAACTTCAGTATACTTACTGAAGAACTGAACGACAGTTTTCTATTCTGCATAGGTAAGAGACAATACATTACATGAGCTTTTTTTTTTTAACAATGAATGTTATTACAATTCGTGGTGTGCATTTGCTGGAGGGGTCACTTCAAATTAGGAATGTCATTATACTACTTTAGTTCTTGCTTTTACTACAGAGATGGTCATCATAACATTTAAACACTCTTTTAGTCCGCATATATAGTCTTGGAGAGATTACAACAGTGTGAACATATCTATCGCAGCAGTGTTAAATATGGTACCTCATACAGATTATCATTATTAAAAGCTTTCATTTCTACTTTAACATTGAATTATTTTCTAAAACATTTCCACCAATTTGCCCTGCAGATAAGAAACAAGAAGTGTTAAAAATCTCTGTAAATCTCTTGGAATTTAGGATATCAATTACAGTAAAAAAAAAAAATAGCCAAAACTACTTAGTGATTTTAAAATTCATTGATCCTTTTAAAAGTAGGTCAAGTTAAGTATTGCATACATTCTAGGGAATTTACAAATTTGTGAGTTTTTAAGCTTCCCTTGCAGGGAAGTCTTAATGTCCTTTCCACATTCTCAGTTTGGGAGACTGATTCCTGGATTCAGAGTGTAATGTTTTTTTTAAACACAGAACAAAAGTTTTAGAGTGAATTTTGATTATACAAAAACAATTCATAGAGAGGCAAAATTGGCAAGCAATTTCATAAGCAGCCACTGACAATATACTCAGTTCTACATGAAGAAAAACAGATAAGGATTCTCTCTCAAAACAGCTCCAGGGTTACACCCTCATTCTAGGGTCACTTCTTTATACTGCAGGATGAAAAACACTTTCCATGCGTAACAAATATGTAGGTATTCCACTATGGTATCTTTGGAATTATATCATAATTCCTAGGATTATTACACAAGAAAAAGGAAAAAAACGTTACCATTTTCTTTTCGTAATCTTGTTATAAATTTCTTGGGAGGTATTACTCCAACTTTTTTCTTCTGGGTGGCTATACTGTGGAAGAGATCAGCTAAGCATGTAAGGAGATTCTCTTTTTTTCTTGGTTGACTCTTGTATGCTAAGACTTTGTCTCGAAATGGTCGACAAAAATAAAGTGCCTGAAGAACTGAATTGCAGTAGCATGTATTCCCAAACTGTAAAATAAAAAAGAGATTTATTAGCTTCCATTGTATTACTGTAGAAAAGTAAAATTAAATCCAAAGTATAAGAGAATGCATAAGCAGGGGTAAATTTTCTGCAGCTCATTTCTTCTTGACTTTAAGATAGTAAACCATACTTCTGTTTTACAAGGACTAACAAGTACACTGTAAGTAAATGCAGGAAAAACCTAGGTAAATTTGAACAATACTACATGATTTTTCTCTCACTTGTATATTTAATTTCTTAGTAATATTTTGCATTTACTTGGGTCAATGTTCAACAAATACCATCAATTTCACAGGTCCCAAAATATGCCAAGGTAAAAATATCTATCCATCTACCACAAGTCAGCCACAACAGTAAAGAACAGGGCACAGCATGACCTTGTACTGTGAAGAAATTCAGCTGTAAATTGAGTGCTCCTCAGACACTTCCGAAATTGGATTCTCCAAGTCTTATTAGTTGTGATCAAAGTCAGAAATAACTGCTTTAACCTGTTCCTACATTTTCAGTTCTCATTTTAGGGTGACAGGATGGGCATCCAGCACTTTTCTTAAAACAATACAACATGGCTTGTCTAGCTATGGCTTGTCTAGCTATGGCAGAGTTGGTAGTTTCAAACTGAGACTGAAAGGAAAAGAATGCACAATTTGGACATGAGCATTTTGAAGGAGGCAAGCCACTGAATTGAAAAGGAACAGCTAGAAAAGCATTTGTAACCCGCTTTGTACCAGGACACTCCAGATGTCCCTCTTCCCCAGACTCCTTCCATCTCTTAGGCAGTTGAGTCTTTTGATCGCTGACACTGTCTCCAGCTCACCCCAACACTGCAAACCTACCCATCACCTCTGTGAAGGCATCATGAGCTGTTGGTGGGTAGAGCCACTCTCATTTTATGCTTCCCTCCTCCAGCTAAACCTATTATCTAACACTGAAAGTTTGAGAAAAATCTTTATAAGGCCCTCAGCAAGTAATCCAACCTTTCAGCTGCAGTCACTTAACCTGAAAATTGAAGCACATACCTACTACACACATCCTGTAAAATGTGAAAATAATGTTTACATTTTATATTTATAGTACTTTTTACATTTTGTATGTGTTTTTATATTATACTTATAATATTATTTATATTTTACATTTTATATAAAGACAGCATAAACGAGTAGCAAATTCTAAAACTATGTTGGAAACTATGGGGAGACTGTTACTATAGCAAAAAGAGTGTATTTAGAGATATTTTAAGAGCAGGTTCTTTCAATAGAGAAAAAGAACTAAAAGCTTTTACATCTTGGGAATAACAGGGAAGTAACTGTTTTTTTTGCTCTCTCCTGATTAAGACAATGACAAACAAGAGCACCATGCAATTTAATCACAAAACTGGAAAGTAAATTGTTTTCCTTTCTTTTAAATTAATGAAATATGAAGAAGTACCTTTTAAATACCCAAGACACACTCAAAGAATGAGTAAGAAATGTATTTTTAAAAATATATTAATTACTCTTAAGAGTAAATGTTAAAAAGTGAGGAAATTAATGCTGATTATTTTTATTAAGCTAGGGAAAATGGTTATAATGGCTTCTTTGTGGTCCAAATCTGCACTCAAGTAGGTCAGTGAACTTAAGAGGAAAACTAGGGCTTTTTTCCTTAAAGGAAGCAGAAGAAATCACTAAGTAGTTTATCTCCAAACATTTAATATTGTAATCTAACTATTTATGAGTTTATAATTAGAAATAGCCATAAAAGAGAACTACATTAAAATGTTAAGAAAGTTCTTAAAATTAAATCAAATGGGAAAAGTGCTATTTCGTATTCCAATTTTAAAAAGGAACAGTCTGATGATAAATTAATTAAAATGGCAAACATGCAGTGAGAGATGACCAAAATATGAAGCAACAGAGAGCTTGGAACACCAAACAATATTTAGTTTAATTTAATATGAATGTATGTTAACCTACATACCTGTAGGTAGGAAATAAAAGCAAGCAGATTAAGTTCATAAAAGGTTTTCTTCAACCAAATTCAGAAAGACAGTAGGCAACAGAAGATTGTTTGAAAACAAACTCCTGAAGAAAATTTAATTAGTTCACATTTGTTTTATATCTAAAGCATCAGTATTCATCACTTCAAAACCTAAAATCTTTTCAAAATAAAAGCTTCCAATCATCAAAAAATTATAATGATACCTGTACTAAACAATAAGGCGGAAAAGGTGGAGACGTTTCCAGACTAAGTAAATAGAGAATTTGTACACGAAAAAATGCTGGCCTTACCACCATTATTACTTTACTTCAATACAAAAGCACACCCCTCATTTAGAAAACACTTAAGACCTTGCTCCAGACTCCCCATTCTCCCACCACCCTTTGCTCTCTAATTCTGCTTCTTCAATACTCAGCTCTGCTGCTAACCTGGCCAACAGACACCTTCCGTCTCCCCTCACTTTACAGTTAGCACTGCCTCAGAAGCACAACGCTGGTCAGAAGATGTGCAAGGGATGGCTGTATAATGAAATGCTTGTGAAGTCTGCCTCAGAATAACAGTAGAAAATGGTAATAAACACCATCATTGTAATTTTGTATCTTAAACTGTCAGCCTGTACAGGATAGTGAAACTCCTCTATCTCATTCAGGGGGAATGTAATAGCAACCACATACAGTGGAGTTATTTTAACCCATATTTTCAACTGGTTTATTGCTTGCGTCCTTGTTTCTGTGAGGACCACCTTAAGATGTGCATATCTAAGAAAAGTAAAAAACCAAATTTTCTCTTTTTTCAGTTCATATTGTTCTTCTGTTCTAAATCCTGAGAAATCAGATTATTTCCTTTCACAAAAATACTGCACACACCTCTTTTTTTTTTTTTAATTTCCAAACAACATCCAAACCTGTGTGGAAATAAAAAAAAAAAAAAGAGAGACAATCAGGAAAGCTGCAACAAAAACACTGCACACTCACTAAGGCTTATAGCCTTATAGTTTACTCTTGCCATACAACATACAACTGGGAAGAAACTGGTTCAACTATGTTGAACCCCATAGATCTACAAGCCAAACAAGAGTTCTACAAGCACTTAGATCTGCTTAGAACACTGTCTTTGTGCAGTACTAGGGTTCCTCCAGCTCTGATGCATTGGCAGCTCTGACAACTTTTATTTGTTGCATTGGCCCACGCCAGTAAATAGGATTTCTGCAAAACACATATCCGTTGCAAGAGACTGAATAATCAAACTTTCTGCTCTAGCAGTCTGATAAACTGTAGCTCTTATGAGATTAAAACAAGTAGCTCTTATGAGATTAAAAATGTTCATTATTTCATACTTATTGGATAAAATAATTGATTTGATTCATGAAACACATTGATTTGAATAGTTTGCATTACTGCACTGTAGAGGGAAAGAAGAATGATAGGCAGACTTGGATGTTCCTGATTGTCCATGTGCATGGGACATCATACTAATAAAATTTTCATCTTACTACATATCTTAAATATTTCCT